AAGCAGTCTTCAACTTTTATGTATTTCATAGAATGCTAGAGCTTGATTCTACCAACCTGAAAGAACAAGTGTACTTTCAAGAGTTAACAAAGTTCCAAAATTCTCTCTTGAGAAAAACAAGTCTCTCTTTAATTCTTATTGTCTTGATGACATTTTAATTCAATATTGAAAATTTTTAAGGTGCTTACCAACTTATGGGCAAACTCCACCCCCTCATGTGTTGTTTACATTTCCCTCCAAAGATATCACCAATATATCACCCATATTCAATTGGTATAAGGGATACATTCAGAAAGACAGCTAGCAAAGGTTAAGAAATTGACTTCTTTTTTTATAAAAGGACCAATGTGTCTACCCAGAAAATCATTAGCATAATAGATAGTAAGAAGAAAATAGTTATGCAATGTGAATGTCTTATAGACTACAAACTCTTCATGGAAATTCCCACATGAAACCTATGACAAAAAGTAATGGTTCTAACAGATTTTGTTTGAAATAATGATGCCATTAACACTTGGCACTACAGTTTCCAAATGGAAGTGAGTTTGCATAATAGTTTATTTTTCTTTTTATAGATAAACACAATAAGTCACTGTGCAGGGAGGCTGACATGCTTCAGAAACAAATGCCACTTTGAGACATAGAAAGTCTTACTATCCCCAACACAAGCCTACTTTTTTAAGTCAGAATTTTTTTTTTAAAATATCTGTGTTTTGATTCTCTTTCTTCATTTTGTGAAATAAAGATTCATTCTTATTTGCTCCGATGGCTAAAGAAAGTCAATACTAAAAACGTGGCAGTAAATAAAGAACACTAATCTCAAACAAGGTCACAATTTTGATGTTAATGTTGAAACACTGGTGTAGTATACTAAATGAAAATAACTTGAATAAAAGACTGGCTATTTTCAAAGTATTAACAGAAAGATTTTTTCATTCATTTTCCCAAGTAAGACTAAGTTCCTAAAAAGTGCTTCTGCAAAGAAGTTAACAATTTGGTATCCCTAAACAGGCCCCCACTGTACAATTTATGCATCTTTTCTCCACGATTTGACCCTTTCCTAAACGCTATACATTTTCTCTTAAGTGCTCACACTAACACTCTGATGTCTGGGTCCTAGGCACTGTGCCCGAAGACGATTAGCCATTTACTTTTTGATTTTGCTTTCCCAATACATATAAGTAAATGAAAAGCATTAATTTATAGCTTCACATGTATCACCACTGTTTGGGGAAAACAAAAGAGAACTAAACAACCAAATCTCTGCTGGCCAGAGGTGTAGTTCCGTTCCCCAACAATATTCTGTTCTCAACTTTTCACTTTAGTTACCTAAAGCACACTGATTTGCAATACCATTCGGAAGTTTTTCTATTCTACTAAGAACAAAAGCTCAGAATTCCTAGGTGTCTCAGAAATTCCTCACTTGAACTTCTTCACCCATTCCCACCAACCATGCCTATCGTGTCTACCTGCTTGGTTAACCACATCATTCCCTCATCGCAGGCCCAGGTTTTTCCCTCCATGATCCTAGTCTCTTGGTCCATTAATCCCCTTTAGTTACTCTTTCTTTTCCTCAACACACTAGACCCTAAAATTAACTTATTGTGACAATGACAACTCTTTCCCCTGAAAATTCTGTAACCAGTTATGAGCATACAAAGTAACTGAGGGGCTTGTAACAATTACAGTTTCCATGCCGCCCTCTCCAAATACTCCATTTCAGCAAGTCACAGAGGGGTATTCTGGAGTCTGGATTAGCCATGAGTACACTCCAGGTGATGGAACAGGATAGAAAGCTCAGAGATAAACCCACACACATATGGTCACCTTATCTTTGATAAAGGAGGCAAGAACACACAATGGAGAAAAGACAGCCTCTTCAATAAGTGGTGCTGGGAAAACTGGACAGCTACATGTAAAAGAATGAAATTAGAACACTCCCTAACACCATACACAAAAATAAACTCAAAATGGATTAAAGACCTAAATATAAGGCCAGACACTATCAAACTCTTAGAGGAAAACATAGGCGAAACACTCTGTGATATAAATCACAGCAAGAGCCTTTTTGACCCACCTCCTAGAGAAATGGAAATAAAAACAAAAATAAACAAATGGGACCTAATGAAACTCAAAAGCTTTTGCAGAGCAAACGAAACCATACACAAGACGAAAAGACAACCCTCAGAATGGGAGAAAATATTTGCCAATGAAGCAACTGACAAAGGATTAATCTCCAAAATTTACAGGCAGCTCATGCAGCTCAATATCAAAAAAACAAACAACCCAATCCAAAAATGGGCAGAAGGCCTAAAAAGACATTTCTCCAAAGAAGATATACAGACTGCCAACAAACACATGAAAGGATGCTCAACATCATTAATCATTAGAGAAATGCAAATCAAAACTACAATGAGATATCTTCTCACACCAGTCAGAATGGCCATCATCAAAAAATCTACAAACAATAAATGCTGGAGAGGGTGTAGAGAAAAGGGAATCCTCTTGCACTGCTGGTGGGAATGTAAATTGATACAGCCACTATGGAGAACAGTACGGAGGTTCCTTAAAAAACTACAAATAGAACTACCATATGACCCAGCAATCCCACTACTGGGCATATACCCTGAGAAAACCATAAGTCAAAAAGAGTCATGTACCACAATGTTCATTGCAGCTCTATCTACAATAGCCAGGACATGGAAGCAACCTAAGTGTCCATCAACAGATGAATGGATAAAGAAGATGTGGCATATATATACAATGGAATATTACTCAGCCATAAAAAGAAACGAAATTGAGTTATTTGTAGTGAGGTGGATGGACCTAGAGTCTGTCCTACAGAGTGAAGTAAGTCAGAAAGAGAAAAACAAATACCGTATGCTAACATATATATGGAATCTAAAAAAAAAAAAAAATGGTCATGAAGAACCTACAGGCAAGACGGGAATAAAGACGCAGACCTACTAGAGAATGGACTTGAGGATGCGGGGAGGGCAAAGGGTAAGCTGGGACAAAGTGAGAAAGTGGCATGGACATATATACACTGCCAAATGTAAAATAGATAGCTAGTGGGAAGCAGCCGCATAGCACAGGGAGATTAGCTCGGTGGTTTGTGACCACCTAGAGGGGTGGGATAGGGAGGGTGGGAGGGAGGGAGACGCAAGAGGGAGGAGATGTGGGAATATATGTATATGTATAGCTGATTCATTTTGTTATAAAGCAGAAAATAACACACCATTGTAAATCAATTATACTCCAATAAAGATGTTAAAAATAATAATAATAAATAAAAAACACTCCAGGTGGTAAGACAGTCCAACCACTTTTGACCAGCCACTGATTTTAAAGTTGGTTCCCAAATCCATAATACTAGATTCAACTTTTCCTCCAAGCTCTAATCTTTATCTGTCTTTACTACCTAATTCCTGAACTGTTATAACATTTTCCTAGTAACTTTTCCAGCCTCCCTCACTTCAATTCTCCATTTTTACTCAAACCACATTCATACTCTTGAAAGTTTTGATAAAATTCATTTGACAAGCAATGGGAAGCCTTCTGTTGTTTCACATAAAACGTTTCCAGTTGTCAAGGTCCTCCTTAATTTGACCCAAAACTTATTTAGGAGTTATCTCTCATATTCCTATAAATTGTGAATAAAATGCTGTCTTATTCTCACTTAATCATCACTTTTTTGAAGCCAGCTCTTGTTATGTATGAGAACACAAGTGACGATATAAGTGATTCAATGTGGCTGTACAGTTCATCACTTTTAGAGCAGGGTCTAGAATCACAGGTGCTGCATTCTCTCCCTCACGCTATCCTGCAGATGCCAGGATTTCAGGACCATTATGTGATGGGAGGAAGGAAGCAGGAAAGACAGGGAAGAATGGAGTGAAGGAAGAAAGGATTAACAAGTATTTAAGAAACACAAACCATGATTTACATTGTAACTACTTCAGAGACATTATACCTATCATATCTTTCCCCAAAATATATAATTTATGGATTAAAAACTGAACTAAATGTCATTTTATTAAGTTGCAAACAGTAGTATTAAACATAATGTATAGCTCATTTCTCTGAGGAACTGTGATAAAACTAAATTTTCAAGCCTAACAGAATAATGTCAAACTACTTATTGTTTCGTTAAAAAATGACAAGGTAAGATATTAGATAAACATAAGGGAATAAGCGTATCTTTCCCATGGAGGAGTGAAAGAAGTCGATCTGGTTAAGAGATAGATGCGTGTGCAATCAGAGTGGCAGAGATTGTTATCAGCACCAAGTAGAAAATGGTGGAACTGGGAAGATGTTGCGTTAGATCAAGAAAAAGAGAGAAATGGGGAGATAAACAGATGAATTAGATCATGAGTCAGGCAGGATAAGTAAAATAAAAGCAGTAAAGAGCAACAGGGACAAACTTACAGCGAGAGCTAGAGAGCCAGAAAATGAGGGGGGAGGAGAGAAATTGGAATTGTCACTCTAGAAAAAGGATTAGCCAGAAGGGAGCTATAGGAGAATGGGGGCGATGAAGCCATGCTTGACTCTGCCTGTAGAGACAGGCATCACCTCTCTAATGAGCACCTCAGGGAACAAGAAGGCATCACAGCAGCCTGGAGGCAATGGGACCCTCCTAGACAGGACTGATGGGACCGGACCTGGTGCTCAGATCCAGGCACCTCATTACCCAAAAGGTGCAGAGAAGCTGGAAGGAGTTCAGGGACACGATGGAACAGCGATTAAGATGCAGAGAAAAATGACTGATGATAAAAGATTAAAGCGCTAAATGAGCACATCTTGGCAGGGCAACAAGTGGATGGGCAAAGTAGCTATCTACAAACAGGAAAAGGACATAAATAATCTAGAGGAGAAACATTATTATTTAACCTGGTACCAAGGGGAGAGGTTTATAGAGAATAATTGCAATAAGGCAGAAAAGAAGGCAACCCTAGAATTAGGAAGGGAAGTATAAAGACACAAGTGAAAAATCTGTTCACCTGGTATGGAGCGAGGCACGTCCCAGGAAACAGCTGATATCAGTCTGTATGCATAAGATACAAGCAACTTGACCACTCAGATGGTTACCACGATTCTAGAGGACAAAGCAATCAACAGAATAAAAAAAATTGGAATCATGTTAACAGTTCAAGCTCAATTTTCAAAAGAACTGAAAAATTTAGCTTTATCCTCCATATTTTGTTCATACAAAGGTCTTCATTAATTAATGGCTTGAAATGGTATAGTAATTCAGCAGTTTTCAGAAGGGAATAATATGGGATAATAGATCCTTTTAATATGGCTTCCAGTGATTCTATGTGTTCACTTGCAATATGGTATTTTTAAAGATTAAAATGTAAATGAATCACTTATATAATTAGACATGTGGGGAGACATAAAACCTTGAAATCACCATTCCTGTGGGAGTGACATGACTCCTCACAGAAGGAAGCAAAGGATTCCCAGGTGGAACTTCATCCATAATAACACATGCTGCTCCATGTCTTTGTAGGCCATCTGTGTTTTCCCTACGAATCATACTGGAATAGCTACCCTATCATATGAAGAAACTGTGAACGACCCACATAGTATCATTTTTGGATTACGATATTTGGGTCAGCAAAACATGTCACCATCACCCTCACACACTCAAATATTTATAGGGCTATGCTGAAGTTTTCTTCCATTAAATAAAACCCAAAGTGCAGATTTCAAAATTTTAAGAAAACTCCTGATACTCGATAGAAAACTAAATAAATGAAATTCTTATACAGTTCTGGTCATATTTTCCACTCGTTTTCATTTAAATTTTTATGTGCTTGACAAACTTTCATCTCTGTGCTTTGAGAGTCAATCTAATAATAATCTGTACCTGTTGTATACCTATTTCCAAACTGTAAAACACGTGTGCTTTTTGTCTCATTTGAACCTCACCTTTGGAATTAGGTATTATTAATCCTCCATTTTACAAATAACAAAGCTGAGAATAAGAGGAGATACTGTAGAAGCTAAAATAAAGTTGACATTAAGAACCACCAACAGCAAGGACTGGCATCTTCTGACTGCATGCCCGGTGACCTTTCCACTGCCCTGGATTTCTTACATGATTTGCGTCCTCAATCACAGCACCAATAAGCACTCATAGTTCACATACAGTGATTACTGTGTAAAGCCACATCCTCATTATGAGTTTCTTGGGAATCATTAAAGCACAATTCTTATAAGAGAAATGAAAGAAGCAGATGGGGTAGATCAGGTAAAAAATTAATAACAAAATTTAGTTGCTGAAGTTTCCAGAATGTATAGCCATTTGTTTTCACAGACTGACATACTGTAGTTAATTAAAATACAACTCTTGCCACAATAAAAAAGACAGTGGAAGTTTCTGGTAGATTGAAGCATTCAGGACAAGGGATTCTGAAGGGAACTGGGGTGGAGAGAAAACAATATGGTAGAGGTATACTAGCGGAGTGAAGAGAGAACAATGTAGAAAAAGAGTGGAAACCCTGTCAAGTTTCCAGGAAGTGAAAAGCGAGCATATGCACAAAAAGAAACTTGGCAACTTCATTCCAAATGCACCAAAAAGCAATCTGCAGAACAGAAGGTCCCAGTAGCTTAAAGGAAATACACTTAGCAGAGGCAAACATCATCTTGGAACTGACTGAGAGGAAAGTAACATTTAAATTGCTCAGACTCCTTGGAAGACAGAAGTAAAGGAACTGAGTCAGCAAATGAATGTCACAAGGCAAAGGTTCAGAGGCCAAGGACATCCCCAGCAGTGAGCTAGTGACCTGCAAGGACAAAGATGTGGTAAGAAAGGCAGAACAGGAGAGGGAAAGCAGTATATTGTAAAATGTTAATCTACATTTTGAAGGGAAGGGGGAAATTCCTAAAAGAAATGAGTAGGAATGTAAAACACAGAGAGAGTAAAGGAAAGGGGAAAAAAGGCAGTCTTTGAAAGTGCCTCTTCAAGAAAATGAGGTAATATTTGTGTAGCACTGGAGAGCCTGAGCCTTGGAATCAAACCTCCTGGGTCCACATCCCATTCTTCACACTTAGTAGGCGGGAACTTGGGCAAGTTATGTAATCTCTCTGTGCCTCAGTTTCCTCATCTGTGTAAGGTAGAAAATAATATCACTCACCGCACAACAGAATCATAATTTAGTAAGAAAATTCTTGCAAAGCAAAGAACATAGTGCTTGTGAGAAAGTGAAGAGTAAAATAAAGCTAAATTTCTAAAAATTCATGACAGTATATTTGTCACACTTGAAAAATAAGAACTGGAATCTGAAAAAAACAAAGGCTATGTAAAGAGAGTACACATGATAGGAAAATAAATAAGGAAAGAAAGAGTCCAGTGTCCAACAGAAAGGATTTAAGGAGAGTGAGAACGATTAATAAAGTAATGAAAAAAATGAGAGATGTTACTTAAATTTTATCTGATCCAAAGCAATGTTCTATGAAAAATGTAAATTCATGGAAAATGGGCAAAGAACCCTATTATTTTTGAAAGACCCAATTCAGAAACCCAGCTTCAGTCATTCAGAGAGGGGCCCTTTTTCTAATTCCCAGAATTGCCTTCAACTAGCCAAGTGTTTCAACCCTGATTCAAGTAAATAATCAAGCATTTCATGTCTGAATGCCCTTTCAAAAACAGTTGGAAAAAAAAAGTGAGTCCTGCCTATCTTCCAAATATAAATTGAAATGAGTAAAGTCACAGATGCCTGTTCTAACAAAGAAGGCTTGAACTTGCACTGTTAAGTTATAAACCTTTTTTAAATGGAACCATCAATAATAATGATAATAAACAACCTTTTTTGAATGCTTACTATGTGCTAAACTCAATGATTTTCATTTCAAGCTGCTGCAGGTAGATATTTTTAATCCAAATTAGCTTGTGATGAAACTGATGCTCAGAGAAGTTAAACTAGGTTTCACGTCATATAGTCAGTCAATATCAGAGCATGGATTTGAATGAAGGTCTCTCTGAGTAAAAGTTTGCTCTTTTAACAATGTTTCTATTGCAAAGCCTGTCTTGAATAATAATTTGAACTGAGCAACTACATTGTATAATGCCACGCATCCTAGATTTAAACTAGTTATTTAAACTAGTATTCTTTTTTTTTTAATTTATTTATTTTTGGCTGTGTTGGGTCTTCATTGTTGCACACGGGCTTTCTCTAGTTGCAGCGAACGGGGGCTACTCTTCGTTGCGGTGCTCATGCTTCTCACAGCTGTGGCTTCTCTTGTTGCGGAGCACGGGCTCTAGGTGCGCGGGCTTCAGCAGTTGTGGCACATGGCCTCAGTAGTTGTGGTGCACGGGCTTAGTTGCTCCGCGGCATGTGGGATCTTCCCAGATCAGGGCTCAAACCCATGTCCCCTGAATTGGCAGGCGGATTCTTAACCACTGCACCACCAGGGAAGCCCTCAACTAGTGTTCTTAAATCATTTTTAATTTTGGTAAACAAAAACCCATGTAACATGAAATTTATCTTAACCATTTTTAAGTGTGCAACTTAGTATTGTTGTGTATATTCACATTGTTGTGCAACAGATCTCCAGAACTTTTTCATCTTACAAAACTGAAACTCTACACTCATTGAATAATCCCCCATTTCTCCCTCCCCTCAGTCCCTGAAACCACCATTCTAATTTCTTATTTCTATAAGTTTGGCTACTTAAACACCTCATAGAATTGGAATCATACACCATGTGTTTTTTGTGACTGGATTATTTCACTTAACATAATGTCTTCAAGGTTTATCCATGTTGTGGCATGTGACAGGATTTCCTTCTTTTTTAAGGGTGAATCACTTTCCACTGTATATACACACCATATTTTGTTTGTCCATTTATCCACTGATGGACATTTCAGTTGTTTCCACCTCGTGGCTATTATGAATAATGCCACAATAAATTTGGGTGTGCAAATATTTCTTTGATACCCTGCTTTCAGGTCTTTGGGATACATACCCAGAAGTGGCATTGCTGGATCATGTGGTAATTATATTTTCAATTTTTTAATGGAAACTCTGAACTGTTTTCCTAAGCGGCTGGATCAGTTTACATTCCCACTAACAGTGCACAAGGATTCCAATTTCTCCACATCCTCACCAACCCTTGTTATTTTCTGTTGTTTGGACAGTAGCCATCTTAATAGATGTGAAGTGATAACTCATGGTGGTTTTGATTTGCATTTCTCTAATGATTAGTGATATTAAGCATCTTTTCATATGCTTATTGGTTATTTCTAAATGTTCTTTGAATAAATATCTATTTAATCCTTTGCTCATTTTTCAATCAGTTTTTTTGTTGTTGATGTTATTGAGTCGTAGGAGTCCTTTATATATTCTGGATATTAACCCTTTTCAGATATATGATTTGCAATTATTTCTTCTATGTCATAGGTTGCCTTTTCACTCTGTTGTTTGTTCTGATGCACAGAAGTTTTAAAATTTGATATAGTCCTCCAAGCTAGTATATGTTTACCCAAACCTCTACCTCTCTATCCATCTATCTGTCGATCTATCTACCTACTTACCTATCCAAACCCTTTTGAAAGTAGGCAACCAAATTTCATGAAAACCAAGAAGATAGAAAGAATTTTTAGACCACTTAGCTGTTTAAAAATAATTTTGAGGAGAAAAAAAAAGAAATCCCTTTAGTCATTCTCGGTTCTCATAGTCTAAACATCTCCTCAAGCTGTATTTGATTTTCATGTTTAAAGAGGCATGGATTTTTTTTCATACAACACAGCCTCTAAATACAAGCCAATTACTTCATCTGTGCTGAAGTAAAAAGTCAGTGACTTGATTCAATGTAGAAGGAAAACTTTCAGTGTTTTGTATTTTTGAGAGACCGAATGTCAGCTCCTAGCCTGGCACACAAATGCTGTATAATACATTTTATGTATTACTTTAGTGACTTTTCAAGATAATATTGAAAAGATGAAATTTTAACTTTAAATATTGAACTTAGAACCTGTATAAGATTCAACTCCATTACTCTGTTTGTAGTTGGCCAACAAAATGTGGTACTTGGGGCTTCTCTGGTGGCGCAGTGGTTGAGAGTCTGCCTGCCGATGCAGGGGACACG